AAATCAATTTGTGTTCGAAGGCATAAACAGTAGCATGAGCTTCATCTCCCCAGAGTCAAAATGGGTTCCTTGATAAAGGAGATGACAATGCAAGCTGAGCTCTTGATGTATAAGCATATAGGCGCTCATATGCAAGAAATGAGCATGGGTTCCTACATTCATTTAACATGCTACATTTATCTTTCCAATAAAACAAAGATAGGAAGAAGAGATTTCTTGTTGAATGCCAATTGTGCACCAGTAAAGCCAGAGGGATTGTCCATGAACAGTTTATCTAGATGAAAATGTAGTGGGTGAGTTCTGGCAAAGGCATTATTCATTGTGTATTTCTGCTTTCTGACACTACATTTGAATTTTTAGAACTATTCTGACAAGCCTGTTGGAAGATTTTGTTGCTAACATTTCTGAGAAATGCCTGCCATCGGATGTAAATTACAGGGGAAAGAGACTTTATATGATTTTTCTGTGCCGCAAAACCAAAATCTGATCTCATGCAGGTTATAAATTGTCCAGGAGCTAAGAGTGGTCAAGGAACTGTTGAATGAATAAATGGAAGGTTAGATCAACATGACTCATCAGATATTGTAACTGCTCACCCAATGTCATTTGATCTGCTTAACATTAAAGGCTTCTATTCCCTCACTCTTACATTTCTGCCCTCCCTTTAAAGGGAGGGAACTCCCTTTAAAGTTTAGCACTGAGCCACCCAAGCCATACCTTAAACCTTTGGTTCCACATCATTTAAGTTCTGTTCTCTCTCTTGTGAGACCAAAATGTGAAGAGATCCGGCTTGTATTAGACGGAATATTTTGACCATCTGACCTTTCCTCTTTAATTCTTTCCTTTTTTTAGCAAGCAGTATTTAAAAGTAAATATGAAGTGTTTTGATGCAAAAGAGTTTTGCCAGATTAAAATGAAATTGGAAGATGAGTTCAGTGTAGCGTGTAACCGTTGTGAAATCTTTTTGTTTTGATGGAAGTTTTATTACCTCAGGACGTCTGTCTGCAGCTTATGTAGTTCTCTGGGGTTCTCGAATACACTAGTGAGAGAAGAGCTTATGATGTGAAATGCAACTACTCAGTCTTACAGAAGCCAAGTTCCTGGAATCTGTCCTTTCGGCTGAGTTAGACCATGCTGCTCACCGAGGAAGAAAAGCACCAAAAGCGTGCACAAATGCAAGCTGTGCCCTCTTTTTTAGAATCTGATTACTGATGAAAGCTGAAGAGGAGAGGAGGTGGAGAATCGCATAAGGGGACCTAAAGTACTTGATTTTTATTAGATGAGGAAAGTAGTAGTACAGGATGGATGTCCAATCTTGACTAAACTACAGGAGGAACGTGGCATTTTATTAATGGCAATCCTAACAACAATTTGTTATAGAACTTGTACTCAGGAAGGTGATGAATATTGTATCTGCTCTGGTTCATTCTGTCCTGCTGAATCTGTGCTTGGACGCCATGGTGTGCCATGTGGGCCTGCTTGCACTTGTTAGCTGAATGCAAGTGTTTATGGACAATTAAACTTGCAATTTTTTGATTCACACTTTGAAAGATTGAGAGGTTGGTTTTTTTCTTTTTTTTTTTTTTTCCAGGATAGACTACGTTTCTAATAGATCCATGCCTTTCAAGTCTCTTAGAATATGCAACTGTAGCATGAATTTAGAAAAATGGTCTCATTTCTTTAGAAATCCATTAATAGTAATGTCCTGAAAGACTCTTACATTGATCTTCTCCCTGATAGCCATGTTGTAATAATTATTCTTTTAATGTTTGCATCAATCTAAATGTTTTCCTCTTTGTGCTAGCTCCTACTTGGATCTCCCTATATGACAATCACAGCACTTTGACATCTTGCATTACTTTAATACCAGTGATTCAAAACAAAGCAATGCCAAAGGGAACAAAAGTTCTGTCAAGCCATTAAAATCTTCTTTGCCATTAACACAATTAAATTGATGCATGAGCATTTAAAGTTATTAGCAAGTGCTGCCAGCAGAAGCTGGTTGTGATTGCATTATATATAGTGGGCTTTATTAAAGTAAAATGGTATGTTTATTGTTATTATCATCATTAGTTCTGAAGTAACATAAACAGGGTTGTGAATTGGGAGAGGGCTGTGAAACAAGTACGAACATGTTCTGCCGTGTGTTAATCGTCAGGGACACAGTTACCACAATTAAGACATTTTTAAACAAAGGAATACACATGGCACCTTGGCTAACCATTGAAAATGGCATGTGTAATGGTAGGGAGGGGTGTTAAATAATGGAAAGGCTTCTGTATCTCTGCTGGTCTCACTCTTCCCAGCCTGACTCACTCAGCTGGATTTTGGGCTGCTCCTGTTACTGCTGTGAGAGATTTTGTGGTTGGTGTGTACACTGTGAGCTTATTGGGAGACTGTTTGTTTTGTTTTCTTGTATTCCAACATACCAATTTTTCAATGAAAAAAATCAGGGGTGTATTAGAGACATATGTACTCCCACTGTCCCACTGCACATTGCAGTAATACCCATGCCTGCTAATCTTTCGGTTAAAGTTAACGATGTTCCTCGCTGAATGGAGAGTGGGTATGAGGTATGGAAAATACAGATTAGCAAAGAACTTGCAGGTATTGAGTGGGAAAAACATGATTTAAGTGAAAAGTAGGAGGATGAAGGAAGGCCAAGGAAGTGCTGGAACATCAAGTCATGCGGTAGGAGGGGGGACTGCATGTTGATGCTGACCATCCGCTGGAAGTCCTCAGCCTAGGTTTGTTAGGTAGAATTTTAGCTGAGTAGAAACTGGGGACAGAAGGTAAGGCTCTTTTTTTGGTTGGTTGAATGTTTTTAAGTGATGTTATAGAAAATTATAATTTCTAGTTGCTGAAGTAGATAAAAATCACTAATATTCCTGCAGTGTAGTAATATTCATTTGAGTACTTCTTTACCAAGATATTGATGAACTGCTGGAAATTCAGCAAACAGTGATGAAACAAGTCAAAGGGATGGAAAATCTTGTTTATCAGGAGAGAAGGTAAAAGTTGAACATACAGCGTTTGAGAAAAGTGGAGTATAATTCTGCATGTCTGTGTGTGGTCTAGGTGTGAGAGGAAGTAAAGAATTACTTAGAGTAGTGGGAAGAGCTCTACAGAAAGGCTGAGGTGACACTGGAAGCAAAATTAGCACAAAAAAAGGGCCAAATAGTTTACAACACTGCTCCATATTTTATTAAATGAAGGAGACCCATTTCCCTAC